CCCGCCAATAGCATAACATCTGATCAAACCATGCATAGCTCTCATGAAACGCATACACATAATCATTAAACGTGTATCTGAAGATAGATAATGCTTTGGATATCATGTCTGACACACAGATTTGCTTTGGAGGATACAAATTTTATCATCATAAGCAAAAGGATAGAGACGAAAGTTTGCTTGGGAAGATATGTTTGCGTATATATGTATACTACATATGCACGTAGTGCCTACACTTACAAACACATGATGATTTCAAAACAGTTATTTACATGATGGTAACAGCAATTTGTATATTTAAACTGATCAACTGAACATAACTGATAACCTGCTACAGTACTAGGTTTTTGTCCTAAGGTTGGTTAAACCTTAGGTAGAAAAACAGGGTTTTTTTGTTGTTATAATGATGGAATTTGCTTGGCTAGCATACTGAAGTATAAACAACTGTAGGTTTCATGACATTAAGCAATTGTTCATTTAAAGAAATAAAATTAATATATCTAGGTTTCCATTAAATACTTACGTTTTCTTTATTTGCAGATAAGCCACGCACTGCATCTTTCTTTCTGTGGCCATGGTCCAAAGCATTTGGAGTACTACAGAGAAGCTGCACCTAAAAGACATTGTCTACTGAAGGCATCCAATATCCATTATCTATACCGCCAGCTGGGAACCCTGTCTCCCACCTGAGAAACAAACCCACAGTCAAACAAACCATAGGGAGAGTCTCACCTGGGCCTGGTGACATATGCCTCAAGTCTCAGCACTCAACAGTGCTCCAGCCCAGCTAGCCAAGCATGGTGAGACCCTCTGTTAAAGGGAAGGAAGAAAGGTAGGCAGGTGGGTAGGTTGGTCTACCTACTGGGATGCCTTTCATTGGGTCCTGGTGATGATTCCTGTAGAGTAAAACAAAGACAAACCAACTAGTCAGGTAATCCCCAAACAGTTTGGTTCTTCAGTGCTTAGGAGCACCCCAGTTCTTCCTTTCTCCTATTCAAGGAGCACTAGTTTTTGTTTATTTATCTCTTTCAACAACAATATGCAGGGTATTAAGTTCACCAGCAAAACCAGACAGGATAAATAGGTACCAAAGGGAGTTTGCCTTACATCTCTTATTCCTGTTCTGGTGCTAAGGATGGAACCAAGGGCCTTGTATAAACTAGGCATTCAACCAGTATTCAACTGTCTCTCCTGTCTCACATCTTACACAGGAACAATCTATGACTTAGTACTGTTCTAACACTGATGACAGGAGGCTCTTTTTAATGATTGAATTTCTACCTTTCCTCCATTTCCACCCAGAATATACAACACAGGCTATTTACAGTAACCCAAAGCCAGGCCTGTGGTCTACCACTATACTATAGAACCAGCATTCAGGAGGCCGAAGTAGGAGTTCAAGGTCATACTTGGACTACAATGAGACCCTGCCTCCAAGAAAAAAATATAAAAGAGAAAAATCAGTCCAGGTGGTGGTGTCACAATCCTTTAATCCCAGCACTCTGGAGCATGTTCTGAAGAGTACCAGGACAAGCCAGGGCTATACAGAGAAACCCTGTCTTGAAGAAAAAAAAAGAAAGAAAGAAAGAAAGAAAGAAAGAAAGAAAGAAAGAAAAGAAAAATCAGTTCAAAGACAACATGAACAATGCAAGTGAATTTTTACACATGTTCCTAAAAACTGCCATAGAAAGCTTTTAATAAGTTTTGATTTTTTTTTTTTTCTGGTTTTCCTAGACAGGGTTTCTCTGTATTGCTTTGGAGGCTGTCCTGGAACTGCTCTGTAGACTAGGCTGACCTTGAACTCACAGAGATCCATCTGCCTCTGTCTCCCAAATACTGGGATTAAAGGCCTGCACCACCACCACCACCACCTAGTATCAATTTTGAAAGGGTTGAATTGAAATCAGTTTTTATTCCATGTACACTCCCAGCTAAATATTTTAGGATCTCCAAGAAATACTTCATCATAGTTATAACAATAAACATAAAATGCTTGGTATTTGCTAGATACATATTTTGTTTTGTTCTTTTTCTTTCTTTTTTTGGGGGGGTGGGGGGAAGTAAGAGATGGGAGATGGTGTCTCACACAGCCCAGGCTGGCCTTGAACTCACAATCATCTTGCCTTGACGGCTTGAGTTCTGGAATTACAAATGTAAACCATATTACCTGGCTATGATTAGTGTTTGTTTTTATTGTTGATTTGAGTGGTGTTTTGTTTGTTTGAGACAGTGTCTCAGGTGGCCCAGCCTTCTCACTTTTAATCTTTTCAATAGCTGTTTACAGAGCACCACTGTTATCGCATGTTATAAAGAAAGAAAGTTCGATCCAATGGGTTAAGAAATTGGGTCACACCCAGCTGTTGAAGTAGTAAAGCACCAGAACCTAGACAATCTTATCCCTGAACCTGTATCCTGAGCCACTAAAATACGGCACCTCTCACGTGTAAGAAGAAGCCCTGGCATGAGTGCAGTATACCATTTCCCTTCACGTAAAAACAAGATATTTCTGTGTATGCTGGTTTAAAATAGCCTGCATTTCACAATGCTATTTAGAACTAGAAAACTTAAAAGCTGTCAAGTGAGAATCTAGGCCTCCAAGCCCACTAATATCCCAAGTGAAGTACTTCACAGTCTGCAGAGTCCACATAGGACAACCTGTGGTTGATGAGGGAAGGCTCAGGCATGCAGACTATTTAACAGCAGAACTTACTTCTCAGCTAACTGTACATCCTGAGGTCCTGAGGAATCCAAGGAACCTGCAATCAGTTATGAAGAATAATGTGCTGAGCATGCAGCTTACTTGGCAGTTTTTGCCTAACGTGCACAAAGTCCTAGGTTCAATCCTCAGCACAGCATAAAAGCATGGTGAGCACCGGGCGTTGGTGGCGCACACCTTTAATCCCAGAACTCGGGAGGCAGAGGCAGGCGGATCTCTGTGAGTTCGAGACCAGCCTGGTCTACAAGAGCTAGTTCCAGGACAGCCTCCAAAGCCACAGAAACCCTGTCTCGAAAAAACAAAAACAAAAACAAAACAAACAGAAAAACCACACACACACAAAAGTGCCTGTAATTCCAGCACTTAGGAGGTAAAATCAGGTAAATCAGAAGTTCAAAGGCTACAAAGTGGGTTTGAGGCCAGCCTGAGCTACATGAAACTATCTTGAGCCAACATCTTCTCCCCTCCCTAAGAAAACAAACAGAGGGACTGGAGAGATGGCTCAGCAGTTAAGAGCACTGACTGTTCTTCCAGAGGTCCTGAGTTCAATTCCCAGCAACCATATGGTGGCTCACAATCATCTTGAATGAGATCTGGTGCCCTCTGCTGGCACGTAGGCAGGAGACTGTATACATACTAAAAAATAAATAAAATCTTAAAAAAAAAAAAAAAAGAAAGAAAGAAAGAAAGAAAAGAAAGAAAACAAACAGAAAAGGAAGTGGCTACTCGGGAATCTCAACTTAAAGCAAATATTAGAATGGTCTACTAGCAAAACTTTTTTTAGACTCAGAAACACACACACACTCGGAGAGAGAGAGCCCAATTAGTTGACAAAGTATTTCAAAGTGTTCGGAGGGTACTGGGGATTGAATGAAGGGTCTTGTAGAACAAAGTATTTCTTTAGGCCAATTTCTTTGCTTCTACTGAGATCTGAGACTAAATTGAGATATAAAAAAATATTTACTGTACTTTCATCTCCACCATTAATCAATCAGTCAACAAAATACATTCCTTCCTTGAAGAACTTTTTCTTTCTTCCTTTCTTTCTTTCTTTCTTTTTTTTTTTTTGGTTTTTCCGAGACAGGGTTTCTCTGTGGTTTTGGAGGCTGTCCTGGAACTAGCTCTTGTAGACCAGGCTGATGTGGAACTCACAGAGATCCGCCTGCCTCTGCCTCCCAAGTGCTGGGACTAAAGTCATGCGCCACCACCGCCCAGTGAAGAACTTTTTCTAATACATAACAATTTTTTTTTTTTAAGTTTGTTTGAGACAGGGTTTCTCTGTGTAGCTCTGGCTGTCCTGGAGCTCACTCTGTAGACCAGGCACTACCACCATCCAGCTACATAGCAATTTCTATTACTGTTATTTTCTCTTTCCATTTATCGTTCAACTAAAAAATTAACTAACCTCAAAATTTTAGGCAAATGTTTTCTCTCAGGATTTTGGGATGTAGTAGCGCTGGCTGGCCTCAGCCCTCCAAGTGCTAGGCTTACATAAGCTAATACACCTGATTTTTTAACCTATTTTCACCATCTTCAATTTTTATCCTATTACCTTGTCCTTTCCTCCTTCCTTATATTTGTAAGTCTTAGTGTTTAAAGACGGAACCACCTCTTCAGCCTAAGAGATGGCTAGCAGTTAAGTGTACTTGCTATTCTTCCAAAGGATCCAGGTTCCTTTCCGAGCATCCATATGGTAACTCATAACAGTCAGTAATCCCAGTTCCAGGGGATCCAACTCGCAACTATACTCTGATCTCTGAGGATACCAGGCATGCATGTGGTACACATACATGTAAGCAAAAATATTTATACACATAAAAGTTTAATAAAAATCTTAAAGTTAGTTTTCTCTTTAAAGACTGTCCCCCTACCTGTTTCATCAAAGTCAGCAGAAGTGGTAAGATGAGAAGCAGACATCTCTCCATTGCTAAGATTTGAAAGATCAAGGCAACGTTTTGGGGTTCCTCTGTTGAGACATAAAAATATATCAAGATTTCCATTAGGGAGTACTATCCTAAAAAAGGTAGAGATCATGTCTTCACTCTCAATTACTACCACAAAGATCTAAACAACATCCAAATAAATCTGCTATTTGGAAATAGCTCAGATTGGGCTGAGAAAAGCAATCCCCTACTTTTTTCTCTATTACAGTAATGTAATCCCAGCACCAGGGAGGCAGACACAGGTGGATCTCTGTCAAGGTCAGCCTGGTCTTCAGAGTGAGTTCCAGGACAGCCAGGGCTGTTACACAAAAAAAACCTGGTCTTGAACAAGCAAAAAAACAAAAAACAAAATCAAAACAAAAACAAAAATGTGAGACTAATTTTCTTCTCACCAACATATGGAGATGGGATTTATTTAATGAGAATCTAAAGGGATCTTTTTATAATTTTTACCACATTTTTTTGTATGAGCACATACTTGTGTGAAGACAACTCCAGGAGACAGGGGCTCTAACCTGGGCCCATCATGCTGAGCCATCTCACCTGCCCAGTAAATAGGATCTTGACCTCACATTCTCTACCCCGTTCACCCTGAACACAAATTCAATCCCTCCTCGGAATCTCTACTATTCCTCAAATCCTGTTTGCTACG